TCCTCCTCCTCCTCCTCCTCCTCCTCATTTCTCTCGCCTCTTTCTCCGTAGCCATTTCGGCTCAAGCCGCGGCTTGAGCAGGTCAGATTGGCTACACCAACCTTGTGCTCCTGCTCCGAGTCGCTCTGCTAGCTCTTGTCAGGCTTCTCAGTGACGTGGTGCTCGTCCCGCCGGGCCCCAGGAAAGCGTTGAGGGCTGTGGTTGGTGCCCGAAGCCCTGGCTGGTCTCTGGACGGCCGTGGCGATACGGGGCCTAAGAGTGTCAGGGGTTGGCATGGGCGATCGAGGCCGCTGCCTCTGTGCTGGGCTCCGCCGCATGCTGATGCAGCATGTGCAGGGCGGGCGGAGTGTCTCGACGTGCCTGGCGAGCGGCTGTGGACTCCAGGGGGTCCCGTCGGCTCTGGCGGAGAGGAGCGCGATAGAGGCCGCTGGGCCACGCTGCCAGTGAAGTGCAGGTGACGCTCGCGCGGCTGCTCGCCGCCCGCACGGGAGCCCCACCTGGGCGTCCAGGCCCTTCCGGCGGGAGGGCAATGGGGCTTGGACCGCCTGGGGCCGAAGGCGACCTCGCCCTCAGCCGTGCTGGTGGCACCTCGCAGGCGTAGAACAGAGCCGTATCCACGGCCTCGCGGGCTGGGCCCCTGGGCCGCGAGCCCACGGATGCGGGGCTATTCTGCGCCAGCGCCCCGCGCGGAGCCTGGCCAATCGGCAGCGCATCCACGGGATCGCGCCCTGGAGTCTGGACCGCGAGTGCGTGGACATGGACGCGTTCGCCGCCCGTGAGTACCAGTCGTGCTGCTCCGGGATGTTGCGGTGGTCGCGTTGCTCGTGACTCGTGGGTGTCCGAGTTGTTCTGCCCCTCAACGTCTGTGCAGCTTGTGCCCAACGGGCTGACCAATGGACGCGGCTACGTGGCGGAAGTCCCAGCTGTCTCCGGCTCCTCTTGTGCCCGTCAGTATTTTTCACCGATTCTGTCTCCCGTATTTCCGTCTCCATCGCGCTGCTTAGCGTCTTGTTGCAGATGCGCGTGGTGCTGCTCAACCCTTGCCCCGTTCTCAGATTCGGTGCCATGCTGCTGTTGCCTGCTGGGCTGCCCATTGGCGTGCCGCAGGTATCCACCGCGCTGCTCAACGGAGTGGTGCATGCCGCACTCCTGGTGTTGCTGTTTTCCGCTCTGTTCAGAAACGACGTGCTGCACGCGCCCGTCCTGCGACTCCTCGCCGTGATCCACGACGCATTCCTCCCCGAATTCGTGGATGCCAATGTCATGCCCTTAGCTGCCTCGATACGCCCGTTTTGAAACCGCAACACGTACCGTGCTTAAAATGTCCGTGTCAATACGCTGCGTGTTGGCTCAGCGTATTGGACCACGCTTTGGCGAACGCATCGCGTCAGACCGACGTTTTCAGTCTACGTGTTGAGCTCCGTATCAGTGCGCTGCGTGCTGCATGTTGCGTATCGGGGCAGCGAAGGGCACGCTCCTGCAATCCGCCGGCCTGCTCGGCGCCGTGGTGCAGATGCCCGCCACGCTGCTCTGCGCAGCGTCGCGTATGGCGCTCTTCACGCCCCGCTCGTGGACGTCAGCATCTCGGGGCTCTCCCGAGCTCGTCGCACTCGTGGATGCCCAGGAGGGGAAAAACGCACAGACAATTCATCCTCGATCCCCAAGAAGAGACGGGAAAGTATTGGAATCGGGCGGGAAGACGGAACCCCAGGAACTCTGGGAACATATATGGGGAATCCTTCTATTTGTGTGTCTTTCTTTTTGTGCGTTCCAGGGCCCCTTCGGATGCCACCCACGTCATGCTTCTGCGATCCGCCAAGCCACCCCAACCCAACCCGAAGGCCTCAATTTGCCCTCCATTTCCAGTGGGAGGGGGTCCGGGAACATCGGGAAAAAACATACGGAGCCCATATCCCCCCCAACCCGAAATTCGGGTCTTCGGCAGGTAGTCAGTCATGCTTCTGCGCTCCGCCGGGCTGATCGGCGCCGCGACGCGCGTGCCCTTCCCCGCTGCCCCCGCGCAGTGCTCCGCGGTCGGCGCCCTCCGCGCCCCCCCCGCTCGTAGCCGTCGGCCTCTCTCGGTGTGCTCTCCCTGGCGGCTGGCCCTGGGTCAACTGTGTTGGGTCGGGAGCCTTGAGACGGCAGTACAGCGTCCTGGGCTCAGGGGGTCGACCCAGAAGTTGTGTCGGCAGCCCTGAGCTCCTGACGGTGCAATTTTTTCGAGCTGGACGTTTGTACCCAAGTTCGCTCCCCGGGACCCTGACAGATCGATCCGGCTCAAACATCGGGAGCCTTGATACGAGGGTCAATGAAAACGGGGGTCAGCCACGGCACTGGATCCTGCAGGATCCTGCGAAGACCCCCTCTGGCTGACCCGGGTTAGCGAGCCGCTCGTGGCCGCGAGGCGGCCGCTCGTATTGGCTGACCCGGGTTTGCGAAGACCTGCGTTGCAGTTTTTTTTTTCCTGCATGCAGTTTTTGGTTTCCTGCTGACGCGGGTCTGGATCGACCCGGGTCAGAAGATCCCCGATTTGGTTTCCCCCCCCGCCGCCGCGGGACTCGTGCCTGTCCAAGCCTGCTGCGACAGAGCCGCGTTGGGAGCGTCCAGACTTCAGTCGGGCCTGTCCCTCTACAGGGGGAATCTTCAGAGGTAGTCAACAGATAGTCTGGGGACCGTTGTTTGAATATTTTTGTTGGACCATTGTGGAGTATTTTTTGGGGATTTTTTATTGTTCGTCGAAATTACCCCTGTAGGGGGACACGCCCGACTTAAGTCCAGACCTGGCACGCCAATGGGTGGGTAGGGGGAGATTCAAATCCCTCCCCGAGCAGGAGAAGATCACGTTGTGTTGGAAGGGGAACAGAAACCGCACCATACCATCGTCGCCCAGAGGGCTGGTGGGGTTTCGATCCCCGATGGTGGTTCGGCGACGAGCCCGAGAGGGAAGTGAGAAGGGGCGGGCCTTTTCTCTGAAGACTCGGGCGTCCCCCAGCCTTCTGAGAAGTTTCTTTAGCCTTCCCCGAAGGCACATAACATGTCTCAGAAGGCTCGAAGGGCTTCCGACAAGTCTCCCCCTCGCTTCAGATCTTTTGTATTTGTTCAGCTTGCCCTGCGCTGTGCATTCGGCTGTGCCTCTTCCTCTCCTCCCCTTCTTCCCCTCTCCCTCCGTCCCCCCTTTGTTCCCTCCGCTTTGCTCGTATGGGACCCCGGCGCGCGTTCAGCTTCTTGAAGGCCTCCGCACCCGCGGGCTCTCGCCATGCTTCGCCCCTCTCGCTTTCCCCTCCCTCGCCTCTGGGGACCGATGTTCCGCCCGCTCTGCACAACCACGGCGTAAGGCTTAAACGTTGTGCCGCCACCGTGTCTGGCCCAAGCGTTTCCGGCGCCTTGCCCACAGTTTTTCTGCCGGGGCGCCATTGCAGCAGGCACCGTTCACATCCGCGGGTCTCGAGGTGCTGGGCAGTAGAGCGTCAGATTATCAGAGTGAGGGATCCTCGCACCCTGTTTTTTTGACAGGGGAAGTCTTGATGCTCAAACTGGGCCCCTGGCCCCCGGGTTACAACAACAACGGCTCCCGCCTGAGACTTCCTTACAATTTAGCCAGGACCCCCGCTCCCGCCCGAGACTTCCTCGCATTTTATTCAGGAATCGCGCTCTCGCTTGGGACTTCCTTTTCATTCATTCAGGAATCGCTCTCCCGGCGCTCTGGAGTCGCGCTCTCGCTGGAGACTTGCTTGCAACTTACTGAAGAATGGCCTTGCTTGGGAATTTCTTGTAATTTGCCCAAGCGCCGCGCTCCCCATACCCAGGCACCCAGGAGTCGCGCCCGTTGTGGCCCCATGTGCATGCCCTTCGTGGCCCCGCTGTCGCCATTTGTGTCCCCCTCACTGTCCTACGTGGCCCAGTTGCTACCCTCAGTGGCCCCACAGTTGCCTTCTGTGGCCCCGCATTATCTGCACTTCGTGGCCCCCGCTCGTTCGCGCTCTTCGTGGCCCCATACGTATTCCTTTCGTGTCCCCGCTGTCGCACTTCGTGGCCTACTTCGCGCCCTTCGTGGCCCTGCTGTCGTTCTCTCTCGCTCTCGCTTTCGGTCGTCGTCGCCGTCGTCGTCGTCGTCGTCGTCGCCGTCGTCTTCGACGTCGTCGTCGTCGTCGTCGTCGTCGTCGTCGTCGTCGTCGTCGTCGTCGTGGTCGGTCCCCTGTCCGTCCCTCTTGGGGTCGGGTCGACGGTCCGCGGCCGCCCCGCCGATCAGCGCTGCCGCTGGCCAGGCCGACGGTCCGCGGCCGCCCCGCCGCTTGCCGGGGCCCGGCCTGCAGGGAAGAAAGGTATACCCCCCAAAAGGGGTTCGATCAAAGACGAAGAGGGCGGGTATCGAGGTTTTGGGAAATACGCGTCATTAGACACTCGAGCATATAAGGGCGAACAGTCTTAAAATTATTGTTGTTGTTGTTGCTGTTGTTGCTGTTTGTTGTCGTCGTTCCCCCCGCGACCCACCCGCGACCCACCCCGCGACCCACCCGCGACCCACCCCGCGACCCATCCGCGACCCACCCGCGACCCACCCGCGACCCACCCGCGACCCACTCGCGACCCACCCGCGACCCACCCCGCGACCCCCCCGCGACCCCCCGCGACCCACCCGCGACCGATCCACATTGGTTTGAAGAAAACATCGGCGCCTGCGGCGGGCTCGTTGCATAATTTGTGACACTTTGGCGCCTGCGGCGGGCTTCTCTAGAGTCTCGCATACTGCCGACGTACCCACCGCCCCCTCACACTTATCCGCGTCTGCGGGGTGCTACATATACACTCGTATATATATATATATATATATATATATATGTATCCGTGTACGAGGCCCGGGGGCCTGGGACCGCGACCTCGACGGCGCATGGGGGGACCGGGAGTTGTTTTCACTGTTTTTTACGGGGTTTCGGCGACCCGGGGCCAACAGGGCCCCGTAGCCATTTTGGCTCAAGCCGTGAGGTTGCAAGCTTTCCGCGATGGCTCGCGGTTTTGCAATCGTGGCTTCTCTGCTGCTTCGCCGATCTGCTGCGTTTGATGACGACGAGGCGTACATCGTGTCTGCCTTTCAAGGTGATGCAAATTTTCTCTGGGGCTCTGCCACCGCTGCCGCCCAGATTGAAGGAGCCTGGAATATTAGTGGCAAGCAAGCATCGACTTGGGATGACTTCTGTTACAGCATTCCGCATCGTGACACCACTGACCCCGACACTTTCAGCAAGACGTGCGGTAGCATTCCTGAAGGTCAGAGTGGGTCTAGGTGGGTGACGTTGGATGTCACGGATGATTTCTTTCACACGTACAACGGTGATATTGACTTGCTCTCTGGTGAGTATGGCATGAACGCGATGCGTATGTCTATGTCTTGGCCTCGCCTGATGCCTTTAAACAAGTCTTCGGGGAAGCATGAAGTGAATCCAGAGGGCGTCAAGTTTTACAAAGACGTTTTCGCGATGATGAAAAAGCGTGGCGTTACACCTTTCGTCACTCTCCACCATTGGGATGTTCCAAATGACCTTTCCTGGCTGGAGGATGACATTGTGAATCATTTTTTGGATTTTGCAAAATTGTGCTTCAATGAGTTCCCTGAGATCACCAATTGGGCAACTGTCAACGAGCCCAACTCAATCTGCTCCGGAGGCTATGGGGCAGGCGTTTTCGCACCTGGCCACAAGAGCACCACTGATCATCTAGTGTGTGGGCACCATAGGCACATGCGCGATCAGTCGATTACTTCAGGAAATCTGGCAAGAAGGGCCACATTGGAATTGTTCTCGATTACAAGTGGGCATATCCAAATACAGACAGTGAAGCAGACAATAGGGCAGCCGCGTACGACCGAGACAATCTACTTGGTTTCTGGGCTGAGCCTATCTTCAAAACCGGTGATTACCCACAGAGCCTGAAGGACTTTTTCGGTGCGAAGATGCCTGTCCTCACAGACGAAGAAAAATATATGCTGAAGGGTTCTGCCGACTTCTGGGGCGTCAACACGTACGGTGGCCATGTTGCCGTATGGAACGACAAGAATATTGAAGACTACGAGCCAGGTGATAATGTCGTCGGACGTTACTCATTCAGCCCTTGCTCTGCTGGGGCAGACCAGACGCACGTCGACGATCATGAGTTCGAGTGTGGTGCAGCTTCAGGCTGGCTCTGGGCAAAGCCGGACTCCATGCGGAAGTATTTGAATTTGGTGAAAGACTACTACGGTGTCGAAAACATTTTCGTGACTGAGTTTGGAGTCGACGTTGCTAATGAAAGTGACATGTCCATGGATGAGGCACTTGTCGACACCTAACGCCAGGAGTATTACAAGCGGTATCTGAAGCAAATTGCTGTGGCTAAGAAGGAAGATGGTGTTGCAATCAGAGGAGTTTTCGCATGGTCGTTCATGGACAATTTTGAGTGGGCAGACGGCCTGAATTTCCGTTTTGGTATCACGTACGTCCAATTCAACGATTTGTCTCGCCATCCAAAGATGTCCGCGAAGTGGTGGACCAAGATGATAGCCCGTATGAAGTCTGAACCACCACCGCGACTCTTATACTGCTAAGACGGTCTCTCGCCGTGGCTTTCCAGATTCAGTCATTGACCGAATCGTCCCCGGCCCGAGTTGGCCAGAAAAAAAAGAGGCTGCAGGGAGGCCCCAGGAGGCCGCAGCGATGGCTACAGACGCATTTCAAGACGACTCCCATGACGCCAAGAAGGCCGAAGGCCCCGAAGACGCTCCAAGAGGCACCCCGAGAGTGGCCCAATAAGCAAACATCGCCGATTTCCGATGGGGAAACTGATATTTTTGGCGTGTTTGCCTTTTGGGCGTCCACTGCATCCAAGACGACCCAGGAGGAGCCGGTCGAGGATGCTCCCAAGAGGGCCCCCAAACGGCCCACGAGGGGGCCAAGACGGCCTACGAGGCGCCCCAAACGCCCAAGCACGTCCCAAGGCGGCGCCCAAGACAGGGACGAGGAACCGGAAATTCTGCCTTTTCGACCCAAGAGACCCCCAGGAACCCCCAAGAGGCTCCAAGAAGGCGCCCACAAGCCCCAAGAGGCCCCCATGAGACCAGAAAAACACCAAAAGAGGTTCTGAAGACGCTCCAAGAGGCACCCCGAGAGTGGCCCAGTAAACACAAATCGTCCATTTCCTATCGAAAAACTGAAATTTTTGGCGTCTTCGCCTTTTGGGCTTTCAATGCGTCCAAGACGGCCCAAGAGGCACCCCAGACGGTCGAGGATGCCCCAAAGAGGGCTCCAAGACGGTTTACGACGGGGGCCAAGAACGCCCACGAGACGCCTAAACCGCCCAACAACGCCCCCAGTCGGCGCTCACGACGGGGACGAGACACCGAAAATGTGTTGCAGATTTGGGATGCCCCGAAGAGCAGGGTCGGGAGGAGGGTCCTTTGCACCTTGATCGCTGAGCGTTCGTTGCATTCTGTTTGCATGGGGCCGCTGCATCTCTCGAGCTGGGCTCTGCTTGAAGGGTGCCCTGTGGCGTGGCCCCACGGCATAGAGTCCTGAGCCGGGTGGATTCCCGTGGGGTCCTTTGGAGCTGGGAGCGAAGCTGAAGCTGAAGCTAGGGGCCCTAAAGGCGAGGAAAAAAAAAGGGGGGAGGAAGCTCTCCCTTCCATCGGGCTGTGGCGACCCCGGGCATTTGCGCGGTGCATGGCACTTTGTGCAAGCACCGGTATAAAGCCGTGCCGAGAGCCGTGTCCCGGGTGTCCCGGCACGCGCTCAGCACGGCGCCGCTTTCTCACGCATCCCCTCGCAACATACAATTATCCTTCGCCCGCTCTCGCTTTCTCCTCCCCTCCCTCCCTCCCTGTAGCGGCACCAAGCCCCTCCTGCGTCACGCAGTGTTGGCGTCTCTGAATATGCCTGTGTGTGGGGGCGGAGTAATGTACATAGTTTTGACAAATCAGGTGCGTGAGCATCGGATTGCGTGGTAGGAAGCCACCGCCGTCGCTTTGAACCCGTCCGCGCTCTGCGCTAATATCTCGGACTTCCCCGGTAGGACTGAGATTCGCACCGTCGTGATTGCCATCTAGGCCGCCGATCGTCATTGCGCAGGAATTGCCGATTCGGGCTCGGCGGGGGAAAAAAATGCCTCCAAGAGGCCCCGAGAGGCCCACGATATCCAAACGAACTTCCCAGAGGCCTCTAACCTACAACCCAGGCACGGTGGCGGGATGGGCCGAAGGCCACATCGACTGTCAAAGACGCCCAAGACGGCCTCCAGCCCAAGAGGCCCCCGAGACGTCCCAGCACAGCTCCACGCGGATTTTCACGAAGGCACGAATGCGCAAACATCGTCAACATCCAATGGAAAACCACTCATTTTTCAAACATGGGCTTTGCGTTTCTTTCCAGCGTCCGAGAAGGCCCAAGAAGGCCCAAAGATCGCCCCAAACCGTTCCAACTGGCGCCCGAGAGGGCCCTCGGACGACCCAAGAGGCGCCCAAGAGGGCCCCAAGACAACCCAACAGGGCCCCAAACGTCATCAGAGACCCCGGTAACGACCCGAGAGAGGCCCGCGCCCACGTTGCCCTCCACGGCGGGCTCCTGGGAGAGCTTTCGCAGATGTTTCCGAAGCGGCGCTATGTCGCTCCAGTATGGCCCCAGTGGCCTCTGGGTCGGCTCTAGAGCGCTCCAGGATGGTTCGCTCACCCTTTCTGCTCCCAGAGGCCCCCTGGAGTGTCCCAAGACGACCCTGCAGGTGTCGCTCACGTCGCATCCGTCGGTCATCGAGGCTTGACGAGGGATGCTCGAGGTGGGTTTTCTCTGATATACTGTTCCCGGTCTGGCCGCGAGCTATTCTGGGGGTCACGGCTACCCCGGCGCTGGCTCCTGCGAGATCTGCTTCCTGAATTTCATTTAAGGCGATTGAGCTATCTTGACGGGTCATGGCTCCCCCGTCGCTGGCTCGCAGGGCAGGGTTGCATCGTAGTCGTCTTTCTCCTCATCGTCGCAGTTGTCGTTCTCATCTGTCGTCGTTGACGTCTCTGTCGTCCTCGCCCACGTCGCATCCGTCGCTCATCGGCGCTCGACGGTTCATCGGTGCTCGACGATCGAGGTGCGAGGGTGATTTCTGCGTCTTTCCATGCCCGCTCTGGCCGCGAGCTTTTCGCTATCATGCTCCAACTGCTCCTTCTCGTCGAGAGGGCCGATGGTTACGAGGGCCAGTGGGTGGATTACATGCCTGGCAGTCCTGAGTGAATCAGCAGTTATTCAACGCTTTTCCTGCGACCGCTCCCCACATCATTCGCTTCGCGACGACGCATCCGATGATTGTGCCTGGGTAGAACCACGCGCGCGCTACGCTCGCGCTTAGGTTCTAGTATTCTGTCTGTCTGTCTGTCTGTCTGTCTGTCTGTCTGTCTGTCTGTCTGTCTGTCTGTCTGTCTGTCTGTCTGTCTGTATGCATGTATCTTAATAACACTAATAATAATAATAATAATAATAATAATAAAAATATTTTAATTCTAATAATAATAATAGTAATACTAATAATAATACTAATAATACTACTACTAATGATAATAATACTAATGGTAATAATAATCACAATAATAATAATAAAGATGATGTGTCTACCCCCCCACCCCCCGGACCCCGACCCCCACCTCCGGGACATCTCCCGACAATGCCCGGCACCGCCCTCCCGGGGCTCCCGGCACGCCGCAGGAAGGCTTTCCGGACGGCCCAGGACGCCCCCAAGGCAGCCCAAGAGTGTCGGGCCGGGCGAAAGGGGGGGATTGGGAAAGGGGGGGTTACGAAATTTGCTGCATGCAGCTGGTTTCGGCCTCACCGAGGGGCTCATTCCTCGATACATAGCCGCCTCCGGCGCCGGGAGGCGCTGGGAAAATCAGCTACGTGAGCTGACTCTCAAACCCCCCCTTTGCTATCCCCCCCTTTCGCCCGACCCGAGAGTGCCCCAAGCGGCCCAAGACGGCTCTCCGGACGCCCTCAAGGCAGCCCAGGACGGCTCTCCGACGGCCCTCGAGGCCCCGCAGAGCGCCCAAGAGAGTGCCCAGGGGCTCCCGAGAGGCCCGCAGCACCGCCGAAGAGGAGCCCAAGGAAGCTGTCAAGAGGCCCAGTTCCCCCCCCCCAAACTGCGGGAAGTCTATGATTTCTACATTCTCGCGATTTCGCTTCGGATGCGCGTCCGAGCCTTGCGCATGACCCCCAGCAAGGCCCCAAAGATGCCCCCAGGAGGCGCCCCAAGCGGCCCTGAGGGGGCCCCAGACGCACCGACGAGGGCCCAAGGAGGCTTCTGTAAGACGCCCCGGCGACCGCGCAGGAGGCCCGAGGCCCCCGACAGTGCCGAGAGTGCCCATGGAGACATCCTGGAGCCCCCTTCGAACCTTCCTGGGCCTTCGAGCTGTGTTGCAGCTTTCGGAAGGCCCCAGGAGGCCTCCGAGAGCGCCAAGAATTCAGCACACACTTAACACAAGCCGCCTCCTTATGGGACGCCGTGTTGTGTTGAATGTGTGTGTTACGTTGACGGCTCTCTGGGAGCCATCTTGGAGCTCTCTTGGGGCCCTTTTGGGTCTTCTCGGGCTTGTGACGAAGGTTTCTGAAGGGCCCAATAGGCTTCCAGAAGCGCTCATTTTAGTTTTTTTCCGTAGCCATTTGGGATCAAGCTATTTTGGCTCAAGCTGTTTGTACTCAGCACCTATCACTTGCACGCGAGTGTTGAAATCAATGGCGATACGAACCGTACTCATGATACTCGTGCCAACAGTGATGTCTTTGCATATGCCTACCAAACAGAACACTGGCGAGCCAAATGTGAGCAGGCGTATCAATTATCCATAAGGGCTTCGCCGCCTGCCGCCGGCCCCCTCTTTCGGAGAATGGATCATGCAAAACCCACGTCGTGAGAACTGGGCGCCGTCTTGAAGCAGTGACAGGACCTCGTGCGAGGACGATCTGCCATCGGCAAGAAAGACGTAGATTCAGATGAGATTGTTGAATTCGGTGTTGCATTTTGGACTTGCCCCCGCACGATGTGCATTGGAGGCCCTCTTGGAAACACCAGGCGCTGCTTGAGGCCAGAGTGGGAAACATCGCGCGGCTGGGGCGGTCTTCGGGCTCTTCGGCGTCTTAGTGTAGCGGGACGGGCCTCGGGGGCGCGAGCGCGCCGTACTTTGCAAGGACTCCTGGCCTCGGGGGCGCGAGCCTTGTGGAAGTTACAGGGGGCTTATGGCCTCGGGGGCGCACATATGGGATGCTTTCGACGGTTTGTGGTCCCGGGGGCGCGAATTCGGTGTATTGTATAAGTTGTTCTTGCCTCGGGGACGCGAGCATTGCGTAATTTACAAGGGTTTCAAACTTAGGGGGCGAGAGCATGGTGTACTTTTGAAAGGTTTTATGGCCTCGGGGTCGCAATTCTTATAATTTACAAAGGTTGATGGCCTCGGGGGCGCGAATCTTGTGCACTGTACGAGGTTTTATGGCATCGGTGGTGCAACTCATGTGTAATTTTCGATTGTTTATGGCCCCAGGGACGCGACCATTCTATACTTTACAAGGGGTTTATGGCCTCGGAGGCTCGGGGAGCGCGACTATGGTCTATTGTTTATGGCCCCGGGGGCGCACATACAGTTTAATTTACATGGGATCGTGGCCACGCGGGTGCAAAAGTGGGGTAATTTACAGGGGGCGTGGCATCGGAGACAGAAATCTTGAGAACCCTCCTGGGGGAGGGTGACCAGGGTAGTTTTCTGCTCCCCCCCCGCGCGGACAGCAACAATCTACAGTAGGAGGCAGAGAGCAAGGCTGTAACTTTGAAAACTAGAATCTGGAACTGGTGCAGGTACTGGAAACTGGAACTGGCGCAGGGAGCAGCAACCTAATCATACAGCCTGGTGGCCCCACCAGGGGGCCGGCGTATTTTTTTTTAAATCGAGCAGGCATTGGAGACCGTGGGTGGGTATTCAATACGTTGTTGCGTCTCGGGGCATATCACAAGGCCACAGTCCACATTGACGGAATAAACGGCGGTCCGAATGCTTGGCTTGATTTGACATTGCACCAGCATTCAGTCAATAGCAGTTGGGACCATTATTTTGATACTCGGGCTAATGGAGGAGAACCGTTCCATGAAGTAACTGACTCTCATGGTTGCCTGGATGTCTACAGAGCAAAAAGACAGTTTTGGACTTCGGAGAAGAATGATCATCAATGCGTCAACGTCCACGCTGATTTGTACACGTTCTTCTATTAACCCAAGCCAGCAACTGCTCCATACAGAGATGAAAAGATTTTCTATCCTGGAGAGAATCATCATATACATGGTCCCGCACTCAAGTATTCCCGTGCTGTGGATGCAGCAACGCGGCGTGTGTTGTCGACTACCCGAAACGAGCCGTACGGTTTCATTCACATTCGGTTGTGTGACAGGGAGCAGCAAAACAGCGTTTGCACGGAACCTCCGAGAGTGTCGGCTTTTGCTTCCCAACATCCAGGGGTGAAGACGTGGTTTGTTTTTTGGTATGCTTCGCACGGGTACAGAGAGAGATTGGAAAGCAAGCTTCACGAGGTTGTCCCCCGTACATCAGTCATCTTTGAAGAGGCTTTTGATTTCGACAACGCCGACAAGAACGACAATTATTTCAAATCGTTAGTCATGCTTAATATTAAAGCTGGTTCGAAGGTCAATTACGATACGCACACATGTAGCGGGGCCACGCCTGTACAGGTCAGAAGGGACTTCGGTGAACCGCTTTCGCGATCAGAAATAGAAGACACGTACTTCGCGAGTTCGCGCGGAACATCTGAGTCAGACGTGCAGGGTGTCTGCAGGTAATGCAGTCCCCTGTCGTGGACATGCGAATCCACTGGGATACGCACGGCTGTTCTGTGAAGCTTTTGATGCCCAGGGCTTCTCATGCGATGGTCGGTCTTTTTGCGAGGTGCGGGCGTCAACAAATGACGCCCAAGTGCGGTCGGCGCGTGATTGGCGCGTCGGCCGCTGTTTTGACGAAGTGCAAGTGGATACAAACACGCTCAGCATTTTACACACATTGTTTACGCTTCGCGAATCCCCACCAGCCCATTCAGAAGCCCTGCCCATGAGATCTGTCGGGAAATGGATAGAAGAGACACATATGGTGAAACCGAGCGTGCAAGGAGAGGAGAGGAAGGAGAGTCTTGAACCATCTTGGAGGCTATCTTGGAGCATCTGAGGCATTCTTGGAGCTACGGGGCTGTATTGGGTGATATTGGGGTCCTCTTGGAGCTCTTTTGAGCCATCTTGGGGCCCTCTTGGGGCTCTTTGGGGGGTCTTGGGGTCCTTTTGGGGCTCTTTGGGGGCGCCTTGGGGCCCTCATAGGGCCCTCTTGGGGCTCTCTTGGGGCTCTCTTGGGGTCCTCTTGGGGGCCCTGGAGGGCCTCTTGGGGCTGTCGTGGATGGCGTCGGTGAAAAGAGGGGGGCGCTAACGTTTAGTTCCCCCTCTGGGCCATAACAATAGCCTCTTGGGACGCTCTTGGGCCCCTCTTGGGGCCGTCTTGGGGCATCTTGGTCCCCTCTTGGAGCTCTATTGGGCCATCGTTGGGCCACCTTGACGCTTCAAACGTGCATCGGAAGCGAGAAGGCAAGAAGGCAATACTCATTGATTTTCCTTTGAATGTTGAATGATTTTGGCTTCTCGGGAAGGTCCTGAGCGGTGTCCCAAAGCATTCGTCTTGTGACCCTCTTGGGGCCTCATTGAGGCATGTTAGCTATCTTCAGCCATGTTGGGCTATCTTGAACGATCTTGGAGGCCATCTTGGGCTCTCTGAGGCCCTCTTGGAGCTATCTCAGGATATCTTGGACGCCCTGACCGCTCGCGAACCCCCCTGTCCAGGTCCAGGGGAGGGGGTAAGGGGGAGGGGTAAACCCTTCGTCGAAGGGGAAGAAGGGTTTTTCGAAGAGGAAAGGCAGACATTGTTAGACCACCTGTCGCCCAGAGGGCTGGTGGGATTTAACACAAGCGGCCTACTTCTGGGAGGGCGTGCTGTGTCAAACTTACGGCTTTCTTGGAGCCATTTTTGGGCCTTCTTGGGACCCTCATGGGCCTTCATGGAGCTGTGTCGGAGCTTTCTGAAGGCCCCAAGAGGCCTACAACACCGCCAAGCCTGTAACACAACTTTAGCACAAGCCGCTTCCTTTTGGGAAAGCGTGCCGTGTAAATATTTGTTGGATTCACCATCTTCTCGGAGCCATCTTGGGACGCTATTGGGACCTTCCTGGGCCTTTTTGGGGACGTGTCGGAGATTTCTGAATGCCCCACGAGGCTTCCAAGCCCGCCAGGAATTTAACATCGATTTAACACAAGCCTTCTAAGACACTTGAGACCCCCTAAGGACCCCACGCGAGCTCCCCTCAGACTCCCGAAAGACCCCAACAGGGCTCTCCCCGACGGCGTGGGACGGATCGAGGCCGCTTCAGGGAGAACCCCCCCACACCTATTCACTGCATGCTCCACATATGTACATCCATTAGCATGGACCTGTCCGCCGTGAGTGTCTAGGCGCAATAATTTTCGAATATTAACGGGCTTGAATATCGACGGTGTGGGAGTGACTCTAATTGTGAATGAGTTTGATTGTGAATGAGTCTCAGTAGTAACGAGCGCGTCTCTGCGCATGAGCATGGGGCCTCCTGGGGCCTCCTGGGGCCTCCTGGGGCCTCCTGGGGCCTCCTGGGGCCTCCTGGGGCCTCCTGGGGCCTCCTGGGGCCTCGTGGGGAGGGCCCGTGCCCCTTGGAGAGCCCTCTCTGCAGGACCAGACGTGCGCAGAACACCGCGGAGTGGGAGCCTCGTCGACCCCCCGGCGCCCTTTGCATCCCTCGCCGACCGGGGCCCCCTGCCCTCGCGGGCGGTTGTTTGCGCCCTCGGGGGGCGGAGCGCCGATCCGTCGGCGATGTACCGCTGGTTCGAGCCCTCCTCCTCCTCCTCCTCCTCCTCCTCCTCCTCCTCCTCATCCTTCCTCGCCTCCTCCTCCCTCCTCTCTCCTCCCTCCCCCTCTCCTCCTCGTCCTCCTCCTCCTCCTCCCTCCTCCTCCTCCTCCTCCTCCTCCTCCACCTCCACCACCTCCTCCTCCTCCTCCTCCTCCTCCTCCTGTTTCCCCCTCCGAGATGGTCGCCTCCCAGCCCTGACCTTTAGGATGGGCCAAGAAGTAGCACCAGGACCTCGCCATCCAATCCCTGTCGAGGTTTTGGGCAGCCCACATAGGTCTATATAGGTCTGGAGAGCTATTTCTCAGCACTCTGGAGGGTCAGGGAACGATCGGCGTCACCCCAACATCCTGACCCCGCCCTGCTGAGCCCCGCGCAGACTGCACGATGACGGGCAGCCTTCTCACCTAATTGTGGTGTCGTGTAGGACCCAGAGCCTTTGTCATGAGATCCGCCACGTTCTCGCTCGTCGGGACCTCCTTCGTCCGCACTTCCTTGCTCGCCGCCTGCAGCCACAGGCACCTCGCGTCTAGGTGCCTGATGCGACCGGCGCCGAGCCTGGAGCAAATCCCGATCGCCGCCGTGCTGTCGCCAGCCGCCGTCACCATCATCTCGATCTGCATCTCCTTGAGAAAGTTCTTCGTGAAGGTACCTCGGGTCGCTCCGTTAGTCATCTCCGCGTACTCAGTTTCACCGTTGCTCCGTGCCCTCGACGCCTGCAGTCCAGCCCAGCTGTCGATGCACGCCTTCCCCTCGTACTCGAAACCGCCTCCGCGGCTTCGCCTCGTCACTTCTTCTCCTGCCCAGTCGGAGTCAGTCACGATCGTGATCTCCGTCGGCATCTCCACCTGCCGCCCCTCTCCCCCTCCCCCCCTCTCCCCCTCCCCTCGCGCCCCACCGCGAGTGACCCAGATTGATGCCCCATGGGCGGATCCTCGGCCCCCACGCCGTGGTGAGCTGGCAGCGTGCGTTCTCCAGCTCGACTGCCCATGCCGCGCCACCGCGCGCGTGGACGCCACGCCAAGAGATATGTGGGTCCATGTGTTCGTGTGTGAGCACCCAGCTGCTGGCGGCTCGCACGCAGCCTCCAGGGTGGGAGGAGTGGAGTGCGAGAGGAAGGGTGCGGGCAGCATCCTCCTCCTCACCACCCTCGTTTCCTCCCCCCCCTCTTCCGCACCGCCCTCCCCGCGATGCGTCTCTCCCCCTCCCAGGTCGTCCACAAGGGGGCGGCGTCGGGCCGCCGAGGCACGCCGAGGGGGCCAGGGCACGGGACGGGGCGGCCTCCTCACAGATGGGGGTTGGCCCGCGGAGACGGACTCCCTGGTCCTCTCCCCCCCCCCCCCGCCCCATCCTCCCCGCCCCCGCCCGTGCTCCCCGCCAGCAGCACAACACCACCACATTTGTGCCACGACCGTCGCGCCCGCTTGTCGCGCGACTGGCGGTCGTCGCCGCCTCTCTTCCTCTCTCGGCCTCTGTCTGTCTGTCTGTCTGGCCGTCTGCCTGTCTGTCTGTGTGTCTGTCTGTCTCTGTCTCTGTCTCTGTCTCTGTCTCTGTCTCTGTCTCTGTCTCTCTCTCTCTGTATACATAGGATAGTACAAGTACATGTGTATATGTAAATTTTTATCATGGTACAACATGTTTTACACAATGGTACCATACAGTGCTGCACTGTAGTGTGCTCTTGTCACAGTGCATTTGTATTCGACTCATCTAACCAGATGACATTACATTATGCAGCGCTGTATCCGGGTGTACGATCCTATCTTTTTAACACAATATAGTATAGTACTTGTATTTCATTGTAACATATCCGTATGTGCGTTTTTATTATACACGTGATTATTTCTTCGCTATGTAAGAAACCTTGCTCATCTGGTAAGTCATTGCTATTTTGCCATACTATAGTTTACTTCGTTGCACCAACATATGATTTATGTATATAGAAATATATATTCATGTATGTGTACCATCGTACGTGGTGCTGTAATATCGTATAACACCCTGAATCACCGCAACTGTTAACATTCTAAGGTGCTATCACGTTGCTCACCATAGCATCTAAAACGGTTTGAAATAGTGTATCATGAGATATTCTACCGCATTTCCATATACCGCTTCTTCGCATTCGAATGCGGTGTGTTGACCGTGTAGGGGCAAACGCCATACTCCATGTCATCATAATGTAGCATAGGGTCGTAACATATCCTACGTTGTATTATGCCACGCTATACTGCAGCGTATATACCAGCTCCGTGTAGCATGTCGTACCACACTTTACCTTCTTGTGTTGTCGCACAGTGATTAGCATACTGTCGTATTACCGCATATTATGCCAAAGGCTCCTACGCAAATGTATGTTTTTGATTACGCTGTAGTATCATATATTGTAGTCGATTTTTGATTACGCTGTAGTATCATATATTGTAGTCGACCGTATCATCGTAAGACACATTATATTCCAGCCCAGTCGTGTAGCACATTTCAGTATATGCTACTGGCTGACATCATCGTACCATGATGGATTGCATGCTGTCGCGCCAGCTCGTTTATATTATGTTCTGTAATACGATGTCATAACCCACCACCGCTAGTATTAGTATTATCTAGTATAGTGATTCATAGTGCGTATTCGATTACTATACCATACCGTATGCCAGCATACTCTACTATGCCATGTGATATCATGCTCTATCACATCATGTCTTCAGATGTCAGGAAGGCCTCGCCTTGGAGGGGCCGACTGAGTGGGCATTTCTTCCTCGGCGGAAGGCGGCGGCGGGAGCAAACCGGGGGCGGCCCCGCTGGCGGAGAGCAGCGGATGGCTGGCGGAACCAAACGCTGCCTTCCCAAAGGATTTAGTTTTAGGGGGGGGTCAGGCTTTCGGCAACCTGCCGTATATGATCCAGGTCAGGGCTCGCCCCGTCGTGCTGATGCCTTCGCCTCCCCTCCCCCGCGCGATGGGTTCCCCCCCCTCTTCCTCCTCCTCCTTCTCCTCCTCCTCCTCTTCCTCCTTCTCCTCCTCCTCCTCCTCCTCCTCCTCCTCCTCCTCCTCCCCCTCCGTCTCCCCCTCCTTCTCCTCCTCGTCGTCGTCGTCCTCGTCTCGTCGTCGTCGTCGTCCCCCCATCCCATCTTGGGCGGGCTCTCCCTGGAGGACCTGGCGGCCTACTACGCGCGGAGGCCTCGCGCCTGGGGCAGCGTGGACTGTAATCGGCTGGCCGGCCACTCCTGCTCCCTCCTCCTGCATGAGGGATGCGGAGGATGAGGAGAAGGAGGGAGGGGGGGAGGGATTGAGAGATGAGAGTGAGGAGAAGGAGGAGGCAGAAAAGGAGGAAAAGGAGGAGGAATACAATCAATAGTAAGAAAGAGAAGGATATGTAGACTAATGATTGAACAGAGCTAATAGTAGTAGTAATTATCGTATTCGCGTGAAAATAGCGATATTACACATAAAGATATTCAGAGGAAAAGTCATGATAGTAACAAAACCACCGATAATATGAATGACAATCACACGAATAATGGCAATACGACGCCGGGCTTCCGGCTCGATCACCGACCCGCGGCTCCATCGCGGGAGGCCGCAGCTCGGCGCGGGCGGCGCGCGGCAGGGCCCGCTGCCGCCGCCGCCCGCCGGGCCCCAGCTGCCAGTTGCGCGGGCGGGGCGCCGCGCCGCGTGCGAGACCGCGGGCGCCGCGGCCTGGCCCCCCCTCAGCTGCGCGAGTGGGCCGCGCAGGGCATGGGCGCTCCGGCGAGGGGGCGTCGCATCCCACTGTGGCGCGGGGGATCTTCATTTGGAGCCGCTCATCAGCTGCGCTCGGGGGGCAAGGGGCGAAGACGAGGGCGAGGTGGCGACGAAGAGGGCCCCCCCCATCGAGAGCAGCCCGCTCGGGGCAGGGGCCGCCTGACACCGGCGGGGCAGCGGCGAGCGCCCGGCGAGCGAATGGGGCAACCCGTCCCCCGTCATGCGCCACGGCCCGAAGGCCGCCATCTCGCTCGTCGCGGCGTGGCTTCCGACGAGGCCCGACCTGCTCGCGGCGCTCTCGGCAATGACGACGCAGCGCTCGCGCGCTGCGGCGACGTGCACTTCGGGGCGCCGTCGTCGCGGCGTCGCGGGGGGGGCGGAGGCGCGCGACCGCGCGGCCCCCGCGCCCGTTCGGATGCGCAGGGCCGCCTGGCCGGTGCGAGTGCATCGAGGGCCCGGGGTGCTATCGCGACGGCGCGGGCCCCCCCTCGCCTGACCGCCGGGGCCCAGACATTCAATTCGGAAGTTCCCGATCTGGGGCGAGCTGAGGACCGGCTTCCCTGGAGGGTTTCCGGATGCCAGGGGCGGACGGGCAGCCGCAGAACGCGCCCCAGTGGAGCTAGCGGTGTAGAAGCCCCAGGCGGCGCCGCCCCGAGCGAGCCTTCCGATCTCGCGAGGAAGGAGGTCTACGAGGCGGCCTGAAGGATCCTCCACGGCCGGCTGGGGGCGCTAGGGCGGGCAGGCCGCGGCGACGCCTTGGGGCGCGTCGCCGCGGGGCAGCCCGTCCCCCCGCGCTTGCTCGAGGCACTTCCGTGCGAAACTGGGGGCCCAGACGCAGATTTGATGAAGGTGCTAGTAACGGGGGCCACGGCGGGCGCGTTGTGAGATATGCCCCGCCAAGGGGAATTCCTCGAAGAACTCGCGAAGTGGCGTCTCGACCTGGGGGCGGCCATTTGGGCCGCCCCAGAGGCGGCCGTCCACAGCAGCGTGGGGGGCCGCGGCGACTGGCCCCGAGAACGCCCTCCGGGCGAGGTGAAAGCAGTAAGGGTGATGAGTATGTCCAAGAAGCAGCTGCGCAACCGCCGCCGCGACACCTGCGCCATTGAAGCGCTGGCAGCCCTGGAGTGCGCGAGCGGCGCGCAGAGACTCGACCCCGACGGCGCGCGCGAGGTCGCCGTGAACCACCGGATGCGATGCCGGAATCGCAGTGGATGCCGAGAGTGGATGCCGAGACCCGCGGAGAAGGAGTACCTCCGGAGTTAGTGCGAGGACCGGCGCGCGAGGTCACCTTCTCATTCGTCACCGACGTCAAGGGAGCGCATCGGCTTGTTAAGATCCGCGAGGATTAGTGGGACATGCTGGCCTGTTCGAGGGCGAGGTGTGGTGCCACGCTGTGGGTGCCCTTGCTCCATCCAGCGCGTCAGAATGTGGGCCGGGCTATTCGGCGCCGTGCTACTGGCAATATTCTGCCTGTTGGGAGACGCATGGCCAGTATAACTTCTCACCTATGCCGACGACCTGCAGGCGATCGATTCGGGGAAACGATGGCGACTGGCAGCGCTCTTCATGGTCGTCTTACTCGGCGTCTTCGGCTTCCCAGTGCGAAGGGTCAGGGCGCGGGGCGGCCTCCTGGTGGACTGGGTCGGCCTCCGCTGCGACTGCGCCAAGTTCACCATGGGCCTCTCGGAGGCGACGGCTGCCTCGGCGGCAGCCTGGCGCATGGGCGCCGTCGAACGTGGCGCCGCCCACGCGGGCGAGCTGGCGTCGGGCTGGGCGCGCGGGCTTCGCGGCGATGCTCCCGGCGCGAGAGAAGCCGCCACAGGGGCGGGCGCGCGCCCAGCTCGCCGGCGTCGCAGGGGAGGGCAAGAAGAGGAAGGACAAGAAGAGGGCCCGCCCCCCTACCCTGGGCGACCAGGCTCGTGCTGACGTGGACCGGCAAACGAGTGGCGAGTGGGCGAAGATTGGAGTCGCCCATCAAGTTCAGAAACGAGAGCGCCGGGCACTTCGGCTCGGGTGCGAAGGTTGAGGCGGAGCGCTGCTGGATGGGCGACTCGGAAGTATTGCCGAGCTGCCGCGCGCGTGGGGCTTGTTGGTGCGCGC